ATCCTTGGACCTCAGAACTCCACTTTTTAAAAAGTTACCCTACAGATACAGTTGAACTAAGCAACATGATGTGCATACAAGTTTAGTCATTGCAGCATTGTTTCTAATAGCTAAGAATGGAAAACTTCCAAAAATAGGGGACTGGTTCAGTTATGGTACACTCAAGTGGTCGAATACTATGTTGTTGTTTAAAAGAAAGAACTGCTGACATGGAAAGATCTCAAAGATACAATATTAAGTGAAAAAATGTAAGGTGTAGAATAGTGTATGGAATAGGCTACTTAAAAGTATTCTATATTCAAATTCACTTATATACACACAAGGACAGTGTGAGGAGACAAAAGCATAAGGAACTAAGACTAATGGTTTTTGGGGGGCTAGGGAACCTGGGCAGATGGGCTACAAGGATGGGAGGAAGATGTTTCACTGTCTGCCTTTGAGTCATTTATTTTTGAATCATGTGAGTGTATAACCTACTCAAAAAGTAACCTAAAATAAGGAAAAATTAGCTTAGCTTCTCATGAACTTATATTCTCTATGTAAAATTTAGAATAAATTTATTGAATTACTAAAAAAAAACACCAAAAACCTCGACTGGAACCTTGACTAGGCCGAAACCTTTTGCTCTTCACCACTCTGCTCCTTCCATCAGGTGTCAGCAGTGCAATGGCAGAGTGAGGGCCTGAAGCCAGGAGAAAGCCCAGGCAGGTGGCAATCAGGACTGAGAATAGTTCAGAGTTCGTGTGCTGACCGGTTTGGCTCAGTGGATAGAGCGTCAGCCCATGCACTGAAGGGTCCCGGGTTCGATTCCAGGCAAGGGCATCCACCTTGCTTGCGGGCTCGATCCCCAGTAGGGGCGGGCATGAGGCAGCTGATTGGTGTTTCTCTTTCATTGATGTTTCTAATTCTCTATCTCTCTATCCCTCTCCCTTTCTCTCTGTAAAAAATGAATAAAAATCCTATATAATAAAAGCCAAATATGCTAAGTGTTCAGCTGTTTGACCAGTCACTATGATGTACACTGACCACCAGGGGCCAAACGCTCCAACCAGTAGGTTCGCTTGCTGCTGGGGTCCAGCTAATGGGGACTGAGCAAAATGAGCAGGACTCACCCTGGAACCCTCCTGCGATCCCTCCCCAGCCCAATCAATCATACACCAGTGGGGTCCCTCGGCCTGGCCTGTGCCCTCTCACAGCATGGGACCCCTCGGGGGATGTCCGCAGTTCAGGCAGAGGAACCACACCGGTGCATGAATCCTGGTGCCCGGCCTCTAGTATATATATAAAAAAGGAAATTTCTCGGACTTGCAATGGCCACATTTAGAACCACCTATTCCACTTCTTTCTGTGTGCATAACTGTTTTATCCAGGAAGTAGTTTGGGGGAAGAGGATAAAAGGAGCCTCAAATATAAGCCTCAGAACCTCTCCGTGAGCAATGATGGCTGTACCTGAAGCGCAAGGGTCAGGCAAAGCCTCATGGCGCACCCGGTGGCAGGTTGTGGGAACTGCAGGCTGAGCGCCGGAGAAGCGCCTGTGGAGCTGAGCTTACCAGCCCAAACCCAAGAAGGAATGCAGGACATGCTTTCAGACTTGTTTGTTTTGCTTATTTTTCTAAACATCAGTTTAGTTCTTGTCCTGAAGGATCATAGACTCAAATTAGTAGAGTCTAAATTAATGAGATTTTCCAGTAATGAGCCTGAGACTGAAATTATGGAAAATTCGCTAATTAGAGACTGCCACCACCTAACCACAACTTGGATCCAGGGCTCTGGGGGAGAGAGAGGGGAGAAGGAAGGTCGTAGACGAAACCTGTGCCTGATCCTTCCTTCCTCTCGCCACAGCCCTTTCCCCTGGTGGCCTCGTAGCACCCAGTGCTTCCTGCCTCTGAGCGCCTGCCTCCCCTCCCCCCACCTGGGCCCGACTTCTGAGGACTGTGCGAGGCTAAATTCCTGGAAACTCCAAAGCAGGGCCCAAGAGGAGGTGGGGGGGCGTGTTTTATCCTGGGTTCTGGGAAGCCGTGGGGGAGGGGGGCTGGGCGAAGGAAGAGGGTAGAAAAGGCAGACAAAATGCCCATTCTGCCCAAGGCCGTCAGTTTCCTTTCTTCATCTCTTTATCAGTGTTTGTGACTGAGCTCCTTATCAACAGGAAACGCCTGCCTAAGGGGACGAGGCAGGTCCAGGGGGACTGGACGCCAGGGGCCGGGAATTCTGGGTAATGCATTGCCGGTGTCCAGTGGCCTTCTGCTTCCCAGGACCCAGTGTGGCTCCCAGGCTTTTTGCCGAGGCACCTGGTGAATCATTAGGAAGACGGCACAGCAGACAGGCCCCAAGGCTGAAGGGTCTGCAGGGAGCCCTGGGTGGGGCGCCAGGCCTGGCCCTCTTTGGCCAAGGGCAGGCCATCACCCAGCTCACGCTATGCAATGAGAACTGCCCTTGCCCCTGAAACCCACCAAACCCCCTGTTCTAGCGGAGAGGCCAAGTGCCGTGACAAGTTCACAGCCGACTTAGTGATAGTCACCCACTGGCCCGTCTAGGGTGTGTGCCTCAGCCCTCAGAGGACGGTGCCCGACTGGGCGTCCAGGCCTGGGACAACCAGGTGCCTGGCACAGACTTCTGAATGACGGAGAGCAGGGGGCTCTAGCATTGGTTGACCTCCTACTGTGTGCCAGGTGCTTTATAAACACTGATCATTGGATTAGGGTACTGGTCTCCCAGACGGGGGCAAGAGGTCAGATTTCCCATGAGACTAAAATCAAATCTTAGTGCTGAAAATAAATGCCCACGAGGGATGTCTGGGCCAAGCAAAGCCTTGTGGGTGGCCGCGAGGAACAGGTTTATCCAGACGGCCGTGTACGGGAACCGGCTGTTCTCCTAGCAGGAGCGGTGGGAAGGGTTTGTGTAGGACAGAGGATGGGCCACCTTGCGGGCGGGTGTCTCGTCGGCCTCTGCCTATCCGTTGCCCTGAGCAGCCACATTCTGCCTTTGGTGGTGGCGGTAATAAAGGAAATTCCAGTGTGCCTCTTGCCCTGTCCCCCTGTCTCCTGGACTACCCCCCCCTCCCCCGCCATCCTGCCCTACCGCTTGCTCCTGCCGCGGGGGATCTAGGTCAGTGAGAGTGGGTGGGTGAGAAAGAACAGAGGAGAGATTCATCCAGACGTGACACCCTGCAGGGCAGCAGCGACAAAACACTTGAACCTGAAAACTGCCTGAAAATAGACTGTGTCTACGGCATTATGCAAATCATATGCAAAGTCAAGAAGCCCTGTGTCTCTATTTCTAGCAAACTGAATGTGGCCCTGATGCAAGCAGCTCGTTCCAAGCGTCGCCCACCCGGCGTGACGCCTGTGCAGCTAGCATCGTCCCCACTCGGGAGACTGGATGCAGGACGTGCACCCTCCATGCCACTCCCAGGGCTGGGTCTTTCAGGCATGAGGCCTTTGCTGCTCTGATAATCTTTCTTCTTTTTTAAAAAAATATATTTTATTGATTTTTTTTTACAGAGAGGAAGGGAAAGGGATGAGAGAGACACCGATTCAGCTGCCTCCTACACACCTCCCACTGGGAATGTGCCCGCAACCAATGTACATGCCCTTGACCGGAATCGAACCCAGGACCCTTCAGTCCGCAGGCCGATGCTCCATCCCCTGAGCCAAGCCGGTGAGGGCTCTTGGTCTGATAATCTTGCTGCAAGTAAGGATATGTGGGAAGCAGGTCATTCTTGTGAAGGCTGCGGAAGAAAGTGACGAGGCGGGTAGAAAGAACTGACCTTGAGGGCCTGGGTACTGCGAGGGGGCGGGGGAGTACCTCAACGTCAAAGCTCATGCTCCAGGGACCACCTTCACCCCACCTGGGCATGTTATAGACACTCATCACCCCTTAGGGGGGGCCGACCCAGGTGACCCTCTCCCTCCTCGTAGAGGTGAAGAAATCGGAACCTGGACTCCCAAGCAAACAGGGCAAAACTGCAAAGAAATGAACGGTTTTCTTTCTCTCAAAGCAGACAGGCTCCCGAGGCTCCCCTCATTCGGGGCTCCGACAGGTGCCTCCCAAGAACTCTTCTGCCCGGGGAAGCCAGGAGCCGGCGCTGCTTTCCCAGACGCCAGCAGGCTGCTCTTAGCTCCTTTTCTGCCGTTTTCCTCCGGCCTTTCCTCCCACTCTCCAGCCCGGGTGTGTGTGTGTGGGGGGGGGGGGGCGGGTAGGGATCAGGGGGTGGCAGGCACGGGGTGCCGGGAGGGGTGGGATGCCAGGAATACCCTCCCTTCCCCGGAGCCGGGCTGAGAGGTGCCCTGGGACGGAGGGTGGCACTGGAGGCTGTTTGGACTCCACCTACACATGCTCCAGGCAGGAGGCCCACTGGTGTGTGTGTGTGTGTGTGTGTGTGTGTGTGTGTGTGTGTGTGTGTGCGCGCGCGCGCGCGCGCGCGCGCGCAGGGAGTAGGGGAGGACCTCCGTGGTGAAAGGAATTGGGGTCCCCTTTCTGTATATCCCAGGCAAGGTGGAGACCCCATTGGAAGAAGGAATTGAAAACAAACTTCAGGCAGGCAGGTCCACTCCGCCTCTGAGTGAGGACAGGAGGTGCGGTTTTCAGGGGACAGTACCTGCAGAGCAGGCGCCCGGGGAGCGCACCCGCCGGCGCCGGGGCGGGGTGAGGGGATCCCCGGGAAAAGCCCGCTGGTGGCGCGCAAGGGCCGGAGGGCGGCGCCGCTGGGCAGCCCTGAGGCCAGCAGAGGGCGCTGTGGCGGCGCCGCCAGCAGCTGGACCCAGCAGCTCAGGGTCTGCACGGAAATCTGGGGCCCTGCACAGGGGGGGTGGGGGTGGGGGGCGGGGGGTGTGTGTGTGCAGGGGGTGCAGGGAGTGTCTGAGCGAATGATGAGCTGTCAGTTAAGGGCTGAGTCCCTGCGTGATACCCTGCGTCCTTCTCCTCCCCCCCCCCCGCCCCCCCAGGTCCCCTCCGAGGCGGACCGCTGCAGAAGCACTGGCCTGGGAAGATTCGGCTGGAGCTCAGGATTCAACCACGGCTTTATTGGCGACCTACTGGGTGCCAAGCCCCAGTTAAGTGCTCCCACAAGCAATATCTCCGGGGTAAGAGAGTCCTTTTGACCTGGCCCGCCTTCCTGCCCTCAGGCCCAAGCATCACATCGACAGCTCGCCAGCGCCCCCTCCCCTGCCTGGCCGCCTTTTCTAACCCTCCCCCTGTCACTCCCCTCCTGCCTCCATCCTCCTCTCAGGGATCTTCTAGTCCTTGAGGAGCTGCTGCCTTCAGCTTTTGGCTGTGGAGTCTCGGAAGGAGCCTGTTGGCCCCCCAAAATTCCTTCAGGGGAGCGCTGATTCCCGGGCTGGGTGGGTTCCAGTGACGAGGAGGCGTGAAGCAAGCTGCCCCGTGACGATCTGGGAAGCCAGCAGGTCCATGGAGCTTTCTGTTTTCACTCAGTTTCACTTCCTGGTTCTCCCCCAGGACCTTGCACAACGCTGGGAGCAGGCCTGGGAACGCGCCCTGGGTGATAGTGGCAGGCACTGGCCTGGAAGGTCGCTCTGGGTCATGTACAGCAGGAGGCTGTTTTCTTCCCCTCCTGTAGGAACTGAGGGCTTCTCTCCCCCTGCCCCAAGGGCTGAGGGCTGTGAGCTCAGGTCTCCCCAAGTTTGGGGCTGTCCTTGCCCCATGAGCCCCACCTCCACCCCTACAGCCCCCCAGACCACCCACCTGCCTGGGGTAACCCCCTCTGTGCATAGACGCACACCTTTGACCTCCAGGCGCCAAAGTGTCCCTGTGTTTCTCTACAACCACCAGATTCTTTCTAGGCATACGCTTTCTGGGGCGTGGCCCAGGGTGTGGGCCTGGGCCGAGGGCAGTGGGGAGCAGGACCCTGGGAGCTAGAGGCTTCCTGGCTGGAGTCAGGTTTCTCCTGAGCCTTGGAGGCCCTGCCGGAAGCCAGGCTCACCCCTCTCAGCTCTGGGTAGAGAAGGCAAAGCCACGGAGGGGGCTGAGGCTGGCTTGTCTGCCAAAAGGCCAGGGGCTGTCTGAGCCCAAGGATGGGCATGGGTAGGAACCGGAGCCTGGGGAATTAGACGAGGAGGCATGTTAGACACTTCTGGCCTCAGATAAGCTTATGTGCAAAGCCCATCATGGGACAAATAGCCAGGGGCTGGGCATCGTAGAAGGCACTAGGAACTGAGTTTGCACAGGATGGCACTGCGAAGAAAATTAGAGCTGAAACACCTCAGAGGACATCAGGACCACCTCTTTCCATATGCACCTGAAGAAACAGGTGCAAGCATCCAGGACCGGAGCCCTTCCCAGCCGTGTCCTCTCAGTTATTCTGAAAGTCCTGGGCCTTCCCCATCTGACCCGCCACTTCTCCAATGGCCTATGACCCTGCCACACCCACAGCAGGGCTCCTTGGTTTTAATGCCCCATAAGTCAGTTGGATGGGGATAGAGGAGGGGCCCAGACTAGGCCCCAGGTCTCTCAGGCAGCTGGTAGGCAGCTAGCAGGGGGTCTTGTCCAGGAGACAGAGGCCCAAGGCATCATGGAGCTGAGATACAAACTCATGGGTCCTGGGTGTCTGGGGCTTGGCCAGAGGCGAGGGCCTGGCAGGGTAGGGTGTCTGCTGAAGGCAGACGGGGCCCTGTGCCACGTGGCAGCTCTGGTAGGTCAGTGGGGTTGACCGAGGGCAGGGGGTAAAGTGCAGGCCCAGGCTCTTGGCCCAAGAGACTGGGATTCCCTGGCGTGGCCGCCCTGGTACTGGGGCCTCCTTCGCTGTGTCCTGGGTGGCAGGGAGGGCGCCCAGGGCATGGTGGTGGGGACAGAGCCAGGCGTCAGGGAGCCTGCTGCTCTGAGTGGGCCAGACAGCGGGAGATCGGGTTTCAGCCCAGCTGTATTTTGGGCCGGATGGGCTGGGGGCAGAGCCGGGCAGGCACAGCTGCCCCCAGAGGGGCACCCCCTCTCCAGCACACACACACACACACTACCTCCATCCAGACAGACCACCATTCACTGCTCCCCTCGCCCCTAAACACACACACACACACACACACACACACACACACACACACACACTCAGCAGGCTGAGGGGAGCCAGGTGTCTGCTGGTGGCTAGTCGATCACTTTGGGCTTCTCGAAGCTGTTGCTGAGTTTCTGCAGTGTCTTCTTGATGCGCAGCGCAGTGAGGCGAGCCGAGGGGTTGGGATACCAGCACTCCCGGATCATCTGGACCACCCCCGAGAGGACCTGGGAGGGAGGGGAAGGCCGGGAGAGAAGCAGAGACATGTGTCAGGGAAGATGGGAAGGAGGAGGCCAGGAGAGTGGCCCAGGCATTGGGGAGACACAAGCAGGAGACAAAGGACGAGAAGAGGGGCAATGAGAGTGTTGAGAAGGAGGCAGGAGGAAAGACAGGAGCCGTAAGGGTTGGGGGCGAGGTGGGGGGGAGGATGGAGGGATCCAGGCAGGGACGAAAAGAGTAAAATGAAAAACAGAAGAGGAAGAATGGGATGAGGATGGAGAAAGGCAGGCAGGACAGAGATGTAACTCAGATCTTCAGGGGCACCCAGTCCCCCTTGGGGAGCGGGGTCTGTAGAGTGCCTTCCCCCCCTCCACCGCCACTGGGACCCAAAGAAGGGGGGTATGTAAGTCTCGGGGCTCCCGCACCCCAATCAGACCCCAGTGCTGAGGGCTGTGTCTTCCAGCTCCCATGAATCCTGGCTGGTGTACCCTGGAAGAACAGGCGGTGAGCACTGCCCCCAACATGCAGGTGTCCAGGGAGGAACCCATCCCAGGAAGCTCAGATTTAACCTCCTCAAGCTGGTTCTTAAGGGGGATTGCATGTGTGTGTACATCTGAGTGCACGTGTGGCTTTTTGTGGATCTGTGTGCTGTGTAAAAATGTCCATGTGTCTATGTATACATACATGTATGTGTGTGTGTACATTTGTTTATTCTTTTAATAAACATTAATTGAGCACCGATGGTGGGCCAGGCACTATCCTAGGTATTGGAGATATAAGGGTTACAAAGGAGACATGCTCTTTGTCTTCACAGGGTCAGCATTCTGGCACATACGTGCACATGTGTGTATGTATCTGTGAGTGTATATTTAAGTAGAAGCATGTGTGTGCCTATATATGTTTATATACATGTGAGTATGTGTATTACAAACGCATGTGAAGTATTTTGAGCAAAGATAAAAAACAAACAAACAACAAAAACTGTATAGTAAGAAATGCAGCTGAGAACCTCTGGTTTTCCCAGCAAGGTGAAGGGTTCTGAAAATCCCAGAATAGCTGGAGTCCCTGTGGGGGCCCACAGGGCGGAGATATGGGAGGGTGTGGCCAGGGAGGACCCTGGAATCTGCACGCTAGAATCTATCCGGGGGAAGCCGAGGCCTCAGACACAGGTTCCTGGGCTCAGACATTCCAGCTGTGAGCCACCACCCCATGCCATCTCAGCGCCACAGGGGCCTCACCGGGTCTGCAGCCAGCCTGTTGTGGATGGTGGGGGTCTGCTGGTCCACACACACCACCTTCTTCATGTCCTCAAAGCTGGGGTCATTGGGCACCACGTCATAGAAGGGTGGCTTATAGTCCTCCACAATGCCTGGGAAGCGGGGAGAGGGGAGACAGAGCAGTCACTCGAGACCCCAAGAAGGCCAATACTACCTAGAGAGCCTTGCCCACCTTCTGTCCAGGGGCCAAGATACCAGTTGTCTGACCATGGTACCCTTTAGAGGGACACTATAATATCCTATCTAATAAGGAGGGAATATGCTAATTGACTGCCCCTACCTCAAAGATGGCAGCACCCATAGCCAATAAGGAGGGAACATGCTAATTGACGGCCTCACCCTCAAAGATGGCGGCGCCCACAGCCACAAGATGGCGGCGCCCAGTCCCCTCAGTCCCCCAGCCACCCAGGGCTGGCCTGAGGTGCAGGCAAGCCTCGAATGGTGGCTGCCCAGCTGCCCAGGGCCCATCAAGGATCAGGTAGGCAGGGTCGGCCAAGGCTTGAGCTGCCGGCAGTGGCAGCAGCAGAGGTTTGATGGGGCATCATCTTCCCTTGATTGCCCGGTTGCCTCCTGCCCCTGAGGGCTCCTGGACTACCAGAGGGGGCAGACTGAGCTGAAGGGATCCCCCCACCACCACCACTCCAGTGCATGAATTTTCATGCACCGGGCCTCTAGTTATAAATATATTTATAAATAATAATTACTACTGCCATTTATTTTGCACTTACCACGTGCCAGGCATTGAGCTATAAATACTTTATATGCACTATCCTGTCTTTACAGTGATCATATGTGGTGGTACTATTATGACCTGTGTGTTACAGATGAAGAAACTGATGCTCAGAGAAGTTGAGGCCAAGGTTACACAGCAAGTAATGGCCGAGCCAAGACTTAACTGATCTCATTGGATCCCTAGGCCAGATCTTGTTCCAGCCTTTCCATTGCTGCTTCCTACCCAGGCCCGGGCACCGCCCCCAGGTCCCAGTGATCACAGGTGCCCATAATTCCAATGTTTACTGTCCTGACTGCATTGCACTAAATCCTCACAAAAACACAAGGAAGGAAGCAATGTTATGTGAGCCCCCCTCTATAAGCAATGAGATTAAGGCCACAGTGGTCTTAATTAAGGAAATTAAGGAGCTTACCTAAATTAAGGTGAGCAGACGTCCTGCTTTTGGCGGGACAGTCCCGATTTTTAACAATTTGTCCCGCGTCCCGCGGCGTTTTAAAACAGTTTTTAAAAATCGGGACGTCTGCTCACCTTGACCTAAATTCATAGGCAATAAGTGAGAGTTAGGATTTAAGCCCAGAAAATCCAACCTGAGGCCATGCTCTTGACCTCCATGCTACACTGAAGGGAGGGTGGCTGGCTGGCTGTTGGGTGAGGATGTGGATGCAGGAGAAGGAGGAGAAAACGTCTCTCTGAAAAGAAAGAAATTTCTACCCACGTCCAAATAACACCCAGCCCTCTCAGGGACGGCACCCCCCCGGCCAGCAGCACCTCCTTATACCGAGTGCGCGGTCCTTAGCAGGGGCTTTCTGAAAACCGTGCCTGCGGCCCTGCAGACGGCCCGGGCGGAGAGGCCAGGCCCGGGGACAGTGCCCCCCGCCCCACCCGGCTCCCCGGCCGGCGGGGGACCAGGGCCGCACGGCCCTGAGGGAGAGCCTGCGCCAGCTGTCCTCCCCGTGGCCGGCTTCCAGGCCAGCCCCCAGCGGCTCGCGCCCTAATCAGTGCTGCGCAGAGGCCCGAGCGTGTCTAATGGGCCTTTAATCAGTGCCGGGGCTGACACCAGATTACAGTGTTTATAGTGCGCCGCGGGTCTGTGTGGGGCCGACAGGGCTTCCCTCCGCCCAGGAGCCTGCAGCCAGCCTGCCCTCGGCCCTCGGCCCTGGCCGGCCCAGCCTTCCTTTCCCGCCGCCTCAGCGCCCCCGACCCTGACACCGGCCCCCAGAGTGGACACGAAAAGCTCAGGCCTGAAGGGGCAGGACCCTGAGCCCCTGAGCCTCCCAGAGGGACTGGTTAAACCTCAGCCTCCACCCATCGATGACTGCTGAGAGCACACGAAGCAGGGCCTGGAGCTGGCCCCGCACAGGTGCTCAGGGAATGAGAATGTCCCTCCCCCCAAGGATCAGAGCTCCAGTCATATCCGAGGTTGTCTCCAAACAGCCAGGATATGACTGGAGCTCTGTGGGCAGCCTCCGCAAAGACGGGCAAGCCTCTCCGGCCAGGCCAGACGCCACCCCTCACCCATGCCCCCCGGAAGGCACTGGCCCCGGGGCTGCCCATGGCATGGGGCTGGCAGGGATGAGGTCCCTCTGCCTGCTCCAGCTCACTCTAAGTCCGAGTCCCCTGTGGCGCCCTCAGGAACAGGAGGAAGCAATAAGCAGGCAGTGCAGAAGCTATTGGATCCCGCATGCTTTGTGGTCAAGGAAACCAAGGACCAGGGAGGATTAGGTGGCACAGTGGTAAACAACCCTGGCCCTAGAGTCAGTGCCTGCTTTCAGACCCTGGCGCTGCGTCTAACCAGCTGTAATTCTGGGCCTCAGTCCCCTCATCTGTAAAATGGGGATGATACTGTGTCAGGGATTCATTACGACAGCAGTAATTGCTACTAATATTTACTGCGCTCCAGAATATTTTGTTTGGATGATCTCAACCATCGGAAACTATTTTTATTCTCACTTCACAAATGAGGAAACGGCACAGAGAGGATGAGGGACATGCCCATGGTCAGTGGCAAAATCAGGAACCAAACGTAGGCAGCCTGACTCCCAGCCCACGCGGCTCAACGACGGAAGCGATCCCAGCTTTCTGCCGACAGAGGACGATCGAAGAAGACAGTACATGTGTATCGCATGGCATCTGGCTCATATTTAAGCTCGGTAAATGTTAGCTGCTATTAATATTCCTGTTATTATCACTTCCCCAAGATTTCACAGCCAGAACCACAGACTCTGATGAACCTTGAAAGGTTGCTCAGCTGAACCACCTGGCAAGGAGCAACGAACGGAGCACAGGCCGTGTGGCCACCCGCCCCTCAGGCCACAGGCGCCAGCCACACCAGGAAGTGCCCACCTCCTGCCCGTCCACCCACCTGCCCCCCCCCAGCAGGATGGGCCCTCACCGTTGACGATGGTCCGGCGGGTGATCTCCCACAGCACCAGGCCGAAGGCCCAGATGTCCGTCCACTTGTAGGACTCGAAGCAGTCGGTGCGGATCTGCTCGTCCAGCACCTCAGGGGCCATGTACCGCTTGGTGCCCACACGTGGGTTGTTGCCGATGTCCAGGTAGTCGCTGCCCTGCGAGTGCATCACAGCCAGGCCTGTGGGCACCGGGGCTGTCACTGCTGCTGCCCTCCCACACCCCGGCCACAGGCAGGGCGGCCCCACCCCAGAGGCTGCGGTAGGCGGGGTTGCAGGCAGGTGGAGACCTGCTCTGGGGCGAACTGGGAGCACACTGGCTCCCTCCCTCTCCGGGTGCCCAAGGAGCCGGCGGGATGGGAGTGGGCAAGGCAGGCATTCTCATGCCCATTTCACAGAGCGGGACCCCATGGCCCCATGAGCAACAGCGATGCAGTCAGTGAAGCTGGAGGGTAACCCAGGTTCCTGGCTCCCTGCTCCTTTCCCCCAGCTCCCGGAGGAGCCCGGGGAGGAGGGGTGGTGGTGGAAGGAGTTGACAAGCTTAAAAAGAGTGTTAGGCAGCCGAAACAGGTTTGGCTCAGTGGACAGAGCATCGGTCTGCGGACTGAAAGGTCCCAGATTCGATTCCAGTCAAGGGCGTGTACATTGGTTGCGGGCACATCCCCGGTGGGGGGGGGGGTGCAGGAGGCAGCTGGTCGATGTTTCTCTCCCATCGATGTTTCTAGCTCTCTATCCCTTTCCCTTCCTCTCTGTGGAAAATCAATAAAAAATATATTTAAAAAAAAAGAGAGAGAGAGAGGCAGACGGCAGGGTTCTTGCAGAGGGGAAATGAGACAGCAAACATCTCTGTAAGTTTCCACGCGCCAATCAGAATCGCCAGGGCGTGCACACAGACAGACTCCTGGGCGGAGGTGGAGCCCCGTGGACGGGGACAGAGCCGCCCACGAAGGGGCAGCCCCTTCCCTGCCCGCCCCGCCCCTAGGAAAAGCCCACTCACTGCAGCCGGCCGCTCACCCAGGTCCGCGATGCAGCACTGCAGGTTGCTCTTGACCAGCACGTTGCGGCTCTTGAGGTCGCGGTGGGCGATGGCCGGCTTGCCCTGCGTGCCGAAGATCTCCACGTGCAGGTGCGCCAGGCCGCAGGCCGCCGACACGGCCAGCCTGAGCGCCAGGCGCGGCTCCAGCGTCTGCCGCTGCAGGAAGTCGTAGAGGGAGCCGTGCTCGTGGTAGTGCGTGATGAGCCACAGCTGCGTGCTCGAGTTGCGGGAGGTCATGTCCGAGGCTATGAAGCCTGTGGGCAGAGGGTCGGGGGCTCAGCCACGGGCTTAGCGACGAGGGAGCCTGGACCGGCCAGGGTCAGGGCTGGAGGCGCAGGGCGGGCGAGCCAGGGCGAGCCGGGGCTGGGGTGCAGGCTGCTCGGGCTTAGGGCGGAGAGGAAGCCGGAGTCAGAGGGTGGTGGGGGCTGAGGCCTGGCTGGGAGTCCTTCAGGGGTGGGTGTCCAGAGGCTGGGGATTCCGGCCTTGAGTGCAGGGGATGAAAGCCGGGGCCTGGCCTCCTTCCCGTACCCCCACCCCTCCCTCCCACTTCCCCACCCCTCCCTCCCACCCTCCCCATCCCCCACCCCCACCCCTCCCTCCCACTCCCCCACCCCTCCCTCCCACCCTCCCCATCCCCCACCCCCACCCCTCCCTCCCACTCCCCCACTCCTCCCTCCCACCCTCCCCATCCCCCACCCCCACCCCTCCCTCCCACTTCCCCACGCCTCCCTCCCACCCTCCCCATCCCCCACCCCCCCCCCTCCCTCCCACTCCCCCACCCCTCCCTCCCACCCTCCCCATCCCCCACCCCCACCCGCCCCTCCCACCTCCCCCACCTACCCCACCCCACCCAGCTTGCCTAGGATGTTGTCGTGTCTGAGCAGCACTGTGTTGTAGATCTCAGTCTCCCGGAACCAGGACTGCTCGTCCCTCGAGGAGAATATCTTGACCGCCACACTCTCACCATGCCACAGGCCTCGCCACACTTCGCCATAGCGGCCCTTTCCTGATCCAGGGGCAGGGGGTGGAGGGGGGCGGAGGGGAGAGGAGGTCACACAAGCCCCTGGGCACAGCAGTCCCCAACTGCACGGACCCGACTGCAGAACCTCTGACCTGATGCTTAACTTAACGCAGACCCACACCCCTGTCACAGGGCACCCCGCCTGCCTCTCGCTCCCCACTGGCGTCTGCAGAAGGATCTAGCCCCGACCGGCCTCCACCCGCCCTGTGCCCAGCACAATTCCCATTCTGGGCCAGACCTGGCCCCGTCCGTGACTCCAGAGGCCCAGAGCTCTCTCGCCCCTCCCTCGAAGCTCACGGGAGCCCTGGGTCCCCACCCCCCAGGCGCACCCACCGCTCACCCACACACTCCACCAGGGCCACCTGCCGGGCCACCGTCCTCTGCACCAGGAAGGGGAGCCCCGAGCCGCTGCCTGTGGTGCAGTCACTGTCCAGGAAGTCCTGAAGGCACCAAGAGGCCCCTGAGAGCTGTCCTTCCGCCGGCCCCCTCCGCCCTCCCCGCCCGGCCCCTGCGCCTGTGGCCTGTGCGCCTCGCTCACCCAGCTCCCCGCCCACTGGCATCTGGGTGTCTGTGACGGTGCCTTTCTCGGCTCTCTGTCACTCACTCCGCATCCCTCTGATCCTGTGGCTCCTGCTTATTCCTCCCCCCCCCCACTCCCCCCTCAACCCTGTGTCCCATGTTCCCCACGCTCATACCCCCAACATGCTGTCCCCCTGCTCGGATGCCTTCAGGATGAGCCTGGAATCGCCCAGCTCGCTGTGCAGGTGCTGATGCTTCTTCTGCAGCCGCCGGATATGCCACAGGCCCAGGGCACACGAGACCACCAGGACCAGGAAGCCCAGCGCAGGGCCCAGGATCAGAGGCAGCTGGCTCTCTACTGGCGGCTGCTCCGGGGTGGGGAGGGCTGCCAGAGAGAGGACACTGAGGCCCGGCTGCCACGGGACATCCCCTCCCGCCCTGGCCGCTGCCCTTAGGTCCCGGTCCCGCCTCGCCGCCCGCCCCGCAGCCGGGAGAGGAAAGCGAGGTGAGAGGGCGGGTCGGAGAGGCGCGGTGGGCGGTGCGGAGGCAGCACACAGACATACCCTCCAGCTCCAGGGACACGTTGTGGTTGCACAGGGAGCTGTAGCAGCAGTAGTGGTTGAGGACATCCGTGGCGCGGGCCCAGCAGAGCTCGGGATGCATGTTCCCGCAGCCCCGGTGCTCCTGGAGGTGCCTGCCCTCCTCCCGCACCAGCACGACGGTGCACCAGGTTCCCCGGCAGGTAGGCCCCTGGCATCCCGGGCCCTTACACGTGCAGGTCAGCAGCGGCCCCCGAGAGGCCCTCACAGGGTCGCCTGGGAGACCCAGCAGAAGCTCAGTCACCCCCAGCCCAGTTCCCCAGGCTGAGCCCAGCACCCGCTGCTCTCTCCCTCTCTGACCTCTCCGACAAACCCCTTGAGGCCTTGGTCCCTGAGTTCCACCCTCAGCTTCTCCTTCCCTCCAGGGGGCAGCTGAGGCTGTGAGAAGCCGGCCTCCATCCCTTCCCTGACCCCAAGGCCTCTTCCCCAGTTCCAGGCCCAGCCCCGGCCCCCGGCCCCAGCCCTGAGGACGCTTCCAGGCCCTCTCTGCCCACAGCCCCCCCGCTCTGTACCCCCTAGAGAGAGCATAAGGGGGCTGGGGTAGCCTGTCCCCTGCCCTCCAGCCGAGCTCCAAAGTCCCTTCACCCCAGCTCTTCAAACAGCCCCAGCAGGAGCTCAGCCCCTTCTCCATCCAGGCCCCTGCTCCCCCCAGGACTCACCCTGGGTCAGGTTCAGAGCCACCAGCAGCATCAGAAGGCATCTCCTGGGGAGGTCCAGGCTCATGGTCCTGGGGAGAGGACCAGGAGAGGGGGTGCAGCGAGATCTGTGAAATGTGATCCCCTCGGTGTTTTCAGCCACTGACCGTGGGTCCCTCCCACCCAGAGGAAATCACTGGGAGTGTTTTGGGGGGGCAGGCAGGCCTCCTCCCGACTCCACTGCGCCCGGCTTTGGGGTGGGGCCTGCAGGGGAAGTCCTGGTTCACTTCCCCATGGAAACCATCCTGTTCGGGGTAAAGGGTGGGGAGCCACGTTTAAGTGACTGAGAGCTTCGGGGAGACTCCCAGCCCCGCAACCCTGCTGCTGAGCTGCAGCTGGAGGGCACAGAGGGCTCGGGGCTGGGGCAAAGGACCGTCTCTTCAGCAGCATCCCCTTCTATCCTCGGCCTCTTGCCCATCCCCTTCTAGCCTCCCCCCGCCTGCCCACCCATTTCCCAGCGCCCCCTCCCGCCCCAGCCCTGGCTGCCTCAAACATAAACAGGCTCCTGTCTTCACTTCCTGCCATTCAGGGTCCCGCCAAGCTGGGAACAGGAATCAAGATTGTTTAGATTGGGGTCTGGATAGAACAGGCAGGAGTCACGCACAGCATGGAGTGCAGGACACACTCCCAGGGCGGGCAGGAGCAGCACAGGGCCCGGAGCAGCCCCCTGCACTGGACACCCCTGTGACCGAGTCCCAGGGGACACCGAGGGCCTCACAAAGCCCAGCTCTAGCTTAGAGGTGACAGGATTAAGGCTCAGGCAGGGGAAGAGACCTGACCAGGTCCAGACAGGATTCAGTGGTGGTACCAGGAGCACACCCAGCTGTCCAGACTCTGTCCAGGGCTCTTTCCTCTCTGTCTCCCAGTCGGGTGGCAGCCCATGTCCGAGCCCTCAGGGCTGTAGCCACCGCACGCAGCTCCCACAGTGCCGGCTCACGAGGCGAAAGGAGCCTCCTGCAGCCAGCGTGTCAGAGGCCCTCCCTGCGCCATCCCTGGCCCCCCTCTCTTTCCTTGCTGTCCTGGGAAAAGAGGGGGGCAGGGCCAGTGCCACGGGGAGGGAAGTGAAACCCACTTAGACACTGAATGCTTGACCTTCCGTGGCTAAGGGTGACCTTTCCCAGAAGTTGGATGGAGAGTGTCGAGGGGAGTATCGTATTTTTCGGACCATAAGACGCACTTTTTCCCCCCCAGAAGTGGGGGGAAAAAGTCCCTGCGTCTTATGGTCCAAATATAGCCTACACATATACTTTAAAAAAAAAGTTTTTTTACTTGCCCGGCTCTGTGTGGTCTCTGTGTGCTTGCCCGGCTCTAAAATGGTTCTAAATGCTGCTGTTTACTTTACAGGGTTGATTACATGTGTTTATGACTGTGATGTTGGGTTTTAATGCACATAAAATATTTTAGGACACTATTTGTTTCAGAATCTTTTTTTCTTCATTTCCCTTCTCTAAAAACTGGTGCGTCTTATGGTCCGGAGCGTCTTATGGTCCGAAAAATACGGTAATTCTGGCCTGTGACCCTCCCCAAGCCTGGTCCCACACCGACTAGTGCTTTGCAGCTGCCTCCTTCTTCATGTCTCAAAGGCTTACAACAAGCAGATCAGGGCCAGGGCTGCAGCAAGAAGGACTGAGGTCAGACAGTAAGAAGCACTTCCTGAACGGGGGCAATTAAGCAGGGTTTTGCCTGTGGACTGGGTCCCCAGATACGACTCGAGGGGCGGGAGTGTCTTCTGACCGGGTGAGGCTGACTGTGGCCACAGAAGCACAGAAGCCCCGGCCTAAGAATGGTGCCAGATGAAGATGGAGATGCTGAGGCTCGGGGGCAGGATGGCGGGGGTTGAGGGCGCTTTGTGTGCCTCTGCCGGTGGCAGCTCTGCCTTCCTGCCTGGGCTTCCTCTGCCCCAGAGGCCCGGAGCTGGGGAAGGAAATGGAGCCCTGGGCCACCGCAGCTGTGTCCCCAGCCTCCGCTGACCTCCTGCCTCTGGCCCCTCCTGGCAGGCACTGCGGTGGGACTGGAGCCCCAGACAGGCTGAATGTGTCCACTGGGGTATGCAGGCAGGAAGCCATCCTGGCAGTAGCCTTTGCTTGCCCAGAAAGCAGCGGAGGAAAGGGTATGGGCAGGAAGGAAAAGGTGGAAAACAATGAGGATAAATCTGGCATCCTCCTAGGAGCCTTTACCCGCACTCCACTTCCCTGACCATGCCCCAGGGCACCCGCTCTCTCCCTCTCTCTTCAGTAGGCATCAGACTCCCCTGAAGGGCTTGATTAGCAATGGACACTCTTCGGTCTCCCCCCACTCCAGAATCTGATTTGGTCAGTCTGGGATCAGCAAGAAACATGCTTTTTTTTTTTTTTTTTTTTTTTTTTTTAAATCCTCACCTGAGGATATGTTCTTATTTATTAGAGAGAGAGAGAGAGAGAGAGAGAGAGAGAGAGAGAGAGAGAGAGAGAGAGAGAGAGAGGAACATTGATCGGCTGCCTATCACATGCGTCCCAGCCACATATGCAACCTAGGTATGAGCCCTGACAGGAAATCAAACTCACAACCTTTTTGGTGTACGGGATGATGCTCCAATCAACTGAGCCACCCCATCAGGGCAAGAAACATGCACCTTAAAAAAGTTCCCAGGGCCCTGCCCTAACCGATCTGGCTCAGTGGACAGAGTATCGGCCTGCAGACTGATGGGTCCCAGGTTCGGTTCCGGTCAAGGGCAAGCGCCTCGGTTGTGGGCACATCCGCAGTATGTGCAGGAGGCAGCTGATCATGTTTCTCTCTCATCCATGTTTCTAACTCTCCCTCTCCCTTCCTCTTTGTAAAAATCAATAAAATATATATTTTTAAAAAGTCCCCTGGGTAATTCGAATCAGCGGGTACCATAATGTCCTACAGCACATGCAACGCAGTCTCCATGCTTTCATTTCATAGGGCCTGCTGGTGAGCGGGCGTGGGGTGCAGAGGACAGGACTCTCACTCCCATCCGGGGACCTCCCCCTTTACGGGAGAAGAAGGACACACCAGGCTAAACATGGAAGTCAAGGTCTTGGAAACACTGTGGAGGGAGGGAGGGTCCCAGCGTTGCTCCCGACAGCGGATCCACCTCAAGCCTCCCAGGCCCAGGCGGGGCACAGGGAGACCCGGCTCTGGCCTCATCCGGGAATGCGGGGGAGTAGCATTGTGGCTGTCCAGTGTCTAACTGTGCCCAGTGTCAGGGTAAGTACGGGAGGGTGCTGACCAGTCCAAACGCAGAGCTGACTCCGTGTGATCCTTCCTGCAGCGGGACTCTAGCACAAGTGGGCGCCTTTCACTTCTAAGCAAAACGCCTTTCACTTCCAAGCAAAACGGCACAAAAGACCTCCTGCTGCAGAAGCATCCCTGTAATTGGCCAGAAATCACAACTCCTAAACTCATATCAAACATTAACTTACACTGTGAAGTCTTTAGTAAAAAGAGTTAACCTTTTCTGAGTATGACTTTTGTGCTGCGTACTGAACTTTAACGGTTGACCTCGTTTAATCCACACAACAACCCAAAGGGGAAACTGAGGCTCGGGGATGTTAAATTTGTTGCCTTGATTTTTAAAAAAATATATTTTATTGATTTTTTTTTTTACAGAGAGGAAAGGAGAGGGATAGAGAGTTAGAAACATCAATGAGAGAGAATCATCGATCAGCTGCCTGTTGCACACCTCCCATTGGGGATGTGCCCGAAACCCAGGTACATGCTCTTGACTGGATCCAAACCCGGGACTCTTCAGTCCGCAGGCCGACGCTCTATCCACTGAGCCAAACCAGTTTCTGCTGTTGCTTTGACTGACATAAATAACTGATCATAAATCCTTCCTTGGTCACTCTATTCCTCCAGGTGTTTGGTGCTGGGTGAGCCCCACCAAGGAGGAAAAAGAGTGAGTGGGTCTCACTAACATGAACAGATTGCCCACTGCTGTCCTCAGCTGGTGCCCGGTGTGGGTGTGCTTAGATGTGGAGACAGAAGCCCTGTTAGCTGTAGGCGTAGTCACCGGTGGGAGAGCCAGAACAGGGGGTGCTGGGAAGGGGGTTGTCAGTCTCTGCTCCCCATCACCCCTAAGGGGCTGATGAAACCTGCTCCGACCAGCAACAGCGGCTCAGCAAGCAAGGAAGCGTCTCCCTCCGCAGGTCTGGCCTCCCTCCGCCGGACTGAGCGGCCCCCACCAGGCTGCCCCTCACCAGACACAAAGCACTTTCTCTGCATCACATCCTGAACCTTCAACAGCGATCTAGCACCACACCTGTGCAGAGGAGCACAGAGGTCAGGATCTGGCTCCGGCTCATGCAAACTTGAAATCAAATCCCGTCTCTGCCACACAGGGCTATGAGATTTGGAACAAGCTACTTAAACTTTTGGAGGTTTGGGCTTCCCTGCGTGAAATGAGAAGAATAGGTCTCAGGTAGTAAAATCAGTTAGCAGAGTACTACGTGGCACATAGTAGGCCCTTAACCCGTGTTAGCGAAGCCCACCGTCCACTCACACCCTCCCTGTGCCTTCGGACACGCGGTTGCTGTCTGAACCTGCGCTTCCTCTGCGGGGTGGGCAGGATGCCCCTCTGCTGCATGTGGCGAGGGTTTCAGAGGAAATACAAGTCTGCACAGTCAGTACTCAATAGATGGCAGTTACCTTTAACCTAAGGTGACCAGATCGTCCAGGTGTTGGCGGGACAGTCCTGATTTTCTAACAATTTTTCCCCGCATCCTTCCTGCAGAGTTTTAAAAAAGTCCCGATTTTTTGAAAGATTGGAAACATTGGACAGATTCTTTCCAAAAATTGGGACTTTTTTTTAAAACGCCGAGGGACGCGGAAAAATTGTTAGAAATCAGGACTGTCCCGCCAACACCTGGACGGCCTGGTCACCTTACTTTAACCGCCCAGTGAGATGGAGGGGCAGGCACCAGGACAAACGGGGCAGGGAGGGGTTAGAGAGGACAGACCTGATGCCGCCAGACGCTGCCCATAACCACAGAGGGGTGAGAGCTGCGGTCCACCTTGGCCCTCACCTCGAAGAAGAAAGTGGGTGGTGGTGGGGGGTGGGGGGTTGGTTTTCAACAACACTGTCCTCCAGGGTGGATGGAAACCTGGGACTGCGCGGGAGGGAGGCCAGGGCAGCGGGACCTTACCGCCAGGGTTAGAGGTGAGGCGTGGGGGCTGCAGCTACAGCGCCAGGTCCCCAGCAGGAGCTGCCGGGACTGGGCTGCTCAGACCTCTGACGGGGACCCTCTCCCCCAGGCCGGCGGGGACTGTGACCGTCCTCCGTCCTCCGTCCTCCTGGGTGAGGCAGCGGGAGTGCGCCTGAGGGGTTAGGGGTCCCGTGCCCCCAGGAGCTGGGCTGACCCTGCGGCGACCTCCCCAAGGGGCTGTGCCCGAAGGAGGGCCGCCCCCCAATCCCGGCCCCGCCCGCGGACGGCTTCTCACCTGTGGCCCCGGGCGGCGGGCGCTGGGGTGCGGGTGCGGGTGCGGGAGCGGCGGCCCCGGGAGCCCCGGGCGGCGGGCGGCCGGGGTCTGGGCGCGGGGGGCCCGGAGGGCGCGCTCGGCGCTGCTGGCTGGCGGCTCCCGCCGGGACTGGGAAAGGGGCCGGAGCAGAAATGTTTCTTATTGCAGCGTCTTCCTGCTTGGCCGCGGCCCCACCACTCCCTCCTCATAAACCGCTTCCGATGGCCCGGCCCGCCGACCGGCCGCCCGCCCGCCCTCCCCCGCGCGGCCCCCAGCCCCGGGGCAGCCCGCGGCCCCCGGCCCCCCAGTCCCAGGGCCTCCGCCGCCCCCGCCGAGCCTCCCACATCCGCCGCCCCGAGGGGCGGGCCTTGGACGCGGCTGCTGGGGTCGCCGGGTCCGGCCCGGAGCCAAAGGGGCTGGAGCTCCGTGGGAGGCACCGTGGGTGCGGGGTGGGCTGGGGTGGGGGCGCCGCCCGGCCCCTCGGAGCCGCGAGGGGTGACCAGGCTTCTTGGGGTGGAAGGGATCACGGTGCGAAGGACGGAGATAAGGTACCTGTCCTTCCCCACCTCCCGCCCCGTCCCAGGGCAGAGCGTGGGCGCTCGGGGTGCAAGGTCTGGGCACCACTCCCCCGCCCCTGAGCAGTCCTGGCTGGTCCCAAAACTTCCTCCTCCTCCTCCCTCTGTCCCCTTCGCCCCTCCGCCCCCCCCAAATCCCTTCTCCTCTTCCCTCTGTCCCCCTCGCCCCGCCATCCCCCCAAATCCCTCCTCCTCCTCCCTCTGTCCCCCTCGCCCCGCCGTCCCCTCCTGTCTTCCGCAGCTCTGCTGGGCGCGGGGACAGCGTGAGCCCCTCCAGCTGGCGGAGCAGCCCGCAGGGAAGGCGCCTCCGGCCTCCGCTGGCCTCCGGGCTGGAGGGGGAGGCTCCCTGGGCGGCAGCCCCCCACCCACCGAAGGGGGCGTTAGCAGGACCAGAGCCTCCGCTGGACAGGGCTGGACCAGGGGGACCAGGCTTTGCAGGGAGCGGAATGGCTCCTCCCCGGGGAGACACACACTCACCCTGAAAGCTGGTGTGTTCCGAGCCTCCGGTCCCCCACCGAGAGGCTGAGGTCCAGGACTCCAACTAGTTACAGAAGCCCAGACACTGGCTAGTCACACGGCCCCATGCCTCAGCCCCCATCCACTCAGTGGCCATCACAAGCAGCCTCAGAGGATTGGCTGAGTCGCACACAGGGCAGGCCTTCCGTGGAAGTATTTAGTTACATGAATAAATGAAAAGGCCGAGGAGGCTGGTCGCAGCCAAGGAGAAAGCCATGGGGTCTCTGTGCTGGTGGGAATGCAGACTGGGGCAGCCACTATGGAAAGCAGTATGGAGTCTCCTCAAAAAATTCAAACTCAAACTGACCCAGTGATCCCACTTCTAGGAATACTTCCTAAGAATACGGAAACACCAATAAGAAAGAATATATCTACCCTTATGTTCAAAGGAGCACCATTTACAATAGCTAAGATCTGGAAACAGCCCAAGTGCCCAGTAGATAAGTGGATTTTAAAAGCCGTGGTATGTTTACATGGTGGAATACTATGCAGCTGTAGAAAAGAAGGATCTTGCCCTAACCTGTTTGGCTCAGGAAATAGAGCATTGGCCTGTGGACTCAAGGGTGCCAGGTTCGATTCCGGTCAAGGGCATGTACCTTGGCTGCAGGCACATCCTCAGTAGTGGGTGTGCAGGAGGCAGCTGATCGATGTTTCTCTCTCATCTGATATTTCTAACTCTATCTCTCTCCCTTCCTCTCTGTAAAAAAAAAAATCAATAAAACATATTTTTTTAAAAAGAAGAAGAAGGATCTTTTACCCTTTGAGACAACATGGAGGGACCGGAGAGTATCATGCTAAGTGAAGTAAGCCAGTCAGAGAAAGACAAGTATCACATGATCTCACTTATATGTGGAATCTAATGAACAAAATAAACCGCCAAACAAAGTAGGTCCAGAGGCCTGAAAGCATGGCACAAATTAATGGATCTCAGAGGGAAGGGGGTGGGAGTTTGGGCAGAAAATAACCAAAGAATTTATATGCATACTAGAGGCCCAATGCATGAAATTCGTGAAGGGGAGGGTACCCTCAGCCCGGCCTGCTCTCTCTTGGAATCCAGGACCCCTCAGGGCATGTCCGGCAGTCAGACATCCTTCTCACAATCAGGGACCCCTTGCTCCTAACTGCTCGCCTACTCCCTCCTTACTCCTTGGGGTGCTGCTCCTTAGCATTCCCCTGAGGTGGGAGAGGCTCTGGCCACCACCACGGCACTCGCCAGCAGTGAGCCCAGCTTCTGGCTGAGCACCCTCCAGCTGTGGGAGTGCACTGACCACCAGGGGACAGCTCCTGCATTGAGCATATGCCCCCTGGTGGTCAGTGAGTGTCATAGTGACTGGTCATTCTGGTTTCCCGCCTAAAGGGTCGCTGGGCTTTTATTACATAGACTAGAGGCCTGGTGCACAAAAATTTATGCACTGTGTTTGTGTGTGGGGGGAATGTCCCTCAGCCCAGCTTGCACTCTCTTGCAGTCATGGAGCCCTCAAGGGATGTCCACCTGATGAGTCCTCTGCAGGAGGTGACCGGATGGGCTGATCAGGGGCTGGCACTGGCCGGCAAGTGGCTGGCTCTGCCCCCCACCCCCACCCCTCTAATCACCCCTCCATTGCCGGCGCCAGCAACATGTGCAAGCAGGGCCGGTGCCTTCAGCTGGTGTGAGCAGCAGCTGCTGCCCCAATCGTCCCTCAGGAGCAGGGGGAGATGGAGACACCGTCAGGAGCGATCAGGGCTGGCAGCTGCCACTCTCACCCGATGTTGGCGCTGAGCAATCAGGACCAGCGCTCAGCAGCAGATGCGAGCGGAGCCATTGTTGGCAGCGGGTTTGAGAGGCAGCTGCTGGCCCCGATCACCCTTCAGAAGCAGGGGGAGGTGGAGAAGCTCTGAGAGGCGATCGAGGCCAGCAGCCACCACTTGTACCCGCTGATGGTGCCAAGCAATTGGGCCAGTGCCGGGTACTGGCAGCGGGTGCAAGCGGCAGCAGTGGGTGCATGCGCCTGGCAGGAGAATTTTCAGTAACCTCCAGAGGCTCACCCTGATGACAGTGACTGGCACCCTGCCTTGGTCTGGCACCCTTGCCACCTGCTCCACCCGCCCCCCCAGCCAACTCTCACCAGGCGCCCCCTGGTATTCAGCGCACATCATAGCGACGAGTTGTTTGGTTGTTCCACTGTTCAGTCTATTTGCATTTTAGGGTTTTGTGTATATAGATATGTGTCATCCATGGACACAGACAACAGTGTGGTGAAGGCCTGTGGTGGGGTGGGAACTGGGTGGAGGAGGGCAATGGGGGGCATCTGTAATACTTTCAAAAATAAAGATTTAAAACAAGAGCAGCCCTCTAAGGCGTCTTGCTCTAAGATGGAGATTTGTAAATGGGGCAAGGCACCCCACCCTCTGACAAAAATAGAGGCTGGGGGAGACAATAGCTAAAAGCACCCATTGTTGACTGACTTCACTTCCTTTGCTGCAAGCCTCCCCGCCCCCCTCCTCCCCAGCTGCTTCATAACAGGAGCCTGTGAATTCTAGAACACCCGAATTTCAGTGTCAGGACAGACCCGTGTCCCGGAGCCAATAGGAAGTACTATAGGATTACAGTGTCTGCTCTTTCAGATTATAGGGGCCACTTGGCACGCTATTAGCTGGAGACGTGAGAGTGTGGCCGTCTCTCTTACCCATTCTCTCCCCTGCCCTGCAGTGGCTTCTGACCAACCTCTCCCAGCCCCAGCTGGGATCTCTGTCCTGGGACGTGGAAGTCGGCCTTTCCCAAGGGAAACATTCTTTCTGAGACACACCCTGAGAACAGAAACATCCCCTCGGACCAGCGCGGAGAGCCGCCAGTGTGAGTCAGTGGGGGTGGGGGACTTATCTGGAAAGGGTTCATGAAATGGATAAAAGTGGAGCGATTTTGGAGGAGGGAGATGGGGCTGGGCGGGGGATGGGCTGTTCCTCGGAGCTGGAGTCTACACTCCCCACCCCCCTGCCCCCAGGCCCGGAGTCCGCTGGCCCCTGACTCTGCTCTCAGGGGAGCTTCTTGTGAAACTCCTGGCTTCCCATCAGGCAGAGAGGCCGGGGCAGGCCCCGAGGAGGAGGGACGGCGCTGGAGACTCAGCCCAGTGAGGAAAGGGAAAAGGAATTGCAGACTGTGTCCAAGTCTACAAGAATTAATTACGCAGAGGGACCAGCTGTTCCCCATAATCGGCGAGGACAGAACAAGAGGAAACAGGCCTACAGGACTGAGATTTAAATTTAGATACTCGGAAGGATTTCCCAGCACAGCCCTGCCCCTGGGTAGGGCGTGTGGGTGAGACCTCAGCGGGTTCTCACCTGCGGAAGACAGGTGCCCAAGAGCTGGCTTGAAGGCAGAGGAATGAACAGCTTGCTTTTTCAGGGCCAGCGGTGAGTGCTGAGTTTAAGTATCGCTTTTGCCACTAGGGCGAGGCCAACGCCACGGCTTCCCCCCTCTGTCCATGCAGGGCGCCACATTCCACTGAATGCTCTGCTGCTGCCATCTTGAAGTTTTTTTTTGTTTTTTTTTTAATATGTTTTATTAATTTTTTACAGAGAAGATGGGAGAGGGACAGAGAGCTACAAACAGCAGTGAGAGAGAAACATCGACCAGCTGCCTCTTGCATACCCCCTACCAGGGATGTGCCCATAACCAAGGTACATGCCCCTCACCAGAATCGAACCTGGGACCTTTGAGTCCACAGGCCAACGCTCTATCCACTGAGCCAAACCGGTTTCGGCCCATCTTGAAATTCTTAAGAATGTTGGAACAAAGGGCTCAGCATTTTCATTTTGTGCGGGGCCCCACGAATTATGTAGTTGATTTCTGCACGAGGAAGAGTAGGAAGAAAAGGCAAGAGAGGAAACTAGCAGAGGGTGAGCTGGGCTTGGCTTCCCTTAAACTGCAGAGTAGGAGACGTAGATCAGACAACCTAGGGATATTCC